TGTTCTCAGTAAAAAAAATTCTCCTTTCTCGTTTCTTTGCTCAATAAGTGTGCAATAACGGATTTCCTAAAAATATAAAATGTTTTATAAATTAAATTACTAAATATTTGAAAAAAAGAATACTAAAATCTTTGTGTAGAAGGCAAAAATACGTACCCTGAATAACTTTTGATATTATTGGATTTTAGAATACAGAATAAAATTTTCATAGTTCACTTCGGATAAGCTAAATCATTTGAGAAAAGGAATAGACACAAAATGTACGTTCTCTGAATAAAAATAATTTTTTCAAGAATGATTACAAATTATTTATTTTAAAGTAAAAATTGCCCGATGAAGCACAAATCTACGTAAATGTTCAAGAAATATTCTGACGATTTAAAATAATCAGAAAAAATATTTGAGGCTATAAAATAATCATGTTAAAAAAAAAAATTTAGAGAAACTTCCATCTTATAGCTCCTAAAAAATGGCGGCTTCTTCAATCTTTAGTCGAAACAATTTTTGGAAGTGGCAATGTTAGCGTGATTCATGTTTACAACTTTGATCGCCTTCCACAAAATTAATAATTTTTTTTTNTTTTTTTCGTTTCATAAATTCGAAAATGCTTTTGAGTATTTTCGAAATATATGGCGCCTGTTCTTTTCATGTGAAACTGGTTTTAAATTATCTCAAAGTTCAAACTATTTTAAGAAAGTCTTGAGAAGATCAAGCCGAATTATCGATTGATATGCTGACTTGAATATGAGGAACATATTTTTCAACTTTCTTTCATACGTTTAAATTCACAATTTCAAATCCGCCTGAAAAAAAAGTTTTTTTATTTTTGCTCAGAACAAAAACGATTTTCAACTGTAACCTCGATTAATGTTTATCATTAAATTGCTTTTTTAAAAATATTTAGGGATTCTTATTAGTTTGTTAAAATGCCTTCATTGAGAGCTATGTAGGAAAGTATGTTTTTTCTTACTCCTGTACAGAGCGAAAAAATTTATATTCTGAGAAAGTAGGCTTTTGAGTCCTAGAACGTGAAGATCCGATCATTAGATTAAAAGTTATTCAGGGTAGTCCGTTTATTTATTTATTTTTTTTTTGCGCACTGTACATAAATAATTTTAAAATAAAGAAGAAAGAACTATTTTCCACTTGATATTTAAGTGTAGTTAATTTTCTTTCTATTTAAAAAATAAAGTTCTGTAAAAGTAATTATTTACAAAAGCTGTGTCTGAATTTTTATTTCAGAGAAAGAAAGTTGTTGCAGATACTTACGGCACCTTCCAACGCATCACAGTCTTGAGCGAATCTTTGAAATCTTCTGAAATCTTTTTTCGCACAGGTGGTAGGAACAACAGATATCTTTATACGATAGTATGCTGCTTTCTATTTAAAAAAGGAAAAAAATAACAATTAGATAAAATTTTGTAAAACTACTTCACATAAAATGCACAAAATTACATTACAGTAAAAAGGTATATACTTAATTTTAAAATAAAGCATTCTCTGTACAGCCTATTAAGAATTACTCGTTACCGCCCAGTAATTACTTTAGATCAGTACCATTAATAACATTATATAAATAAATAATTTTAATTATTTATTTATTTAATGTTGCATTGACAAGGCATGCTAAGCTATCAAATTATTCTAAGGAAATAGGTGAACTATAACAGTAATTTAGTGAAAGCTTTATCATAAGCTCCTACTGAGTGGAAGCTTATGATAAAGCTATTTCTAAATTACTGTCTACTGATAAACAAAAAAAAACATAGTGTATTCAAAAATCCCTCAAAATTGAATATATATACAACAGAAAACCATTACAAAAAATTGTTTTGTAATAGTTTTAATTACATAACCTCAAGTAAATTAAAATACACAAATTAAATAATTTTGGCTAATATTTGAATCTCCTTTTCTCAAAAAAGAATTTAATAAGTATATTTCCTATTTTATTCTATGAATAGTTTTTAAATAGTACATTTTTCTTTGATAAGTTCATCATTTAAATGTTCAAAAGAGCTGTAAATGTGTTTGTTTAGAAAAGGGTGTATATTTCTGTAGATAACTCATAAGTTTAAAATCAGTAATAGAACCTTATAGAAAAAAAGGGACGAAAAAAATTATCAATTGTAAGGATATCTGTACAAAAAATAAAAAAGTTAATTCCCTGAATAACTTTTGATTGAATCTATTTTTCACATTTATTGGTTCAAGGACCTAAACGTCAAATATGATAATTAATTAGTGCAAATGCTAAGTTACGAAAAATCAAATCACAGAATCAAGTTTTATGCATACAAATTTTTAAAACTTGATTTCTGTAGAACTATTAGATCTCCTTCGTTCAAATTTTGTATTTTATCATTTAAAATTTCAAACTTTAAAAAAATATATAAGAAATTGTACGTAATATAAGAAATAATAATTAATAATAAAATAAATAATAATTTATATGTAATATAAGAAAGTGTATAGCTTACGATTTCTAAACTTTTTATACTAAATAAAATAATAAAAATATGATCATCAGATCAAAAGTGATTCAGGAGGGATTTTTTTTTAATTATTTCTTTTTATTTATTTTATTTTGCGCACTTTATATTCAGCTTTGAGCTTAACCCTTTGACGCAGATGAGACATCGGTGTTCCTTTTACATATTTTTTTTTCTGATGCTCCCATTAAAAGTATAACATATTCATAAAATTTATTTTCGTATTTTTTTAATTATAAAAAACAGTCTGCGAGTTACTAAAAATATTTTGAATTATCGAAATTATATTTGTACTAAAAAATAAAATAAAACGTAGTTTGAAAAATTATTTTTTTTCACAAACGAAAAACGTGGGGAGCATGAAATACATAACAGTAATGTTATATTAGTGTGTGTATGTGTGCTCTTGAGAATATGTGTATGTATATCTGCAATTGTAAATGTATCTAAATGTGGATGTGTATGTGGAATATGTTTGTGTATATGCATATGTATGTGGATGAATATTTGGCTGTGCATGAGTAAGAAAATGTGCATATGTATGTGTATATGTACTGTAATGTATTTCATGCTCCCCACGTTTTTCATTTTTTAAATTTTTTTTAAAATTATTATTCTCCAATACAAAAACGTGGTTTTTAAAAATATTACTTTTTATTTTGAATTTTTTTTATATATAAAAAACAGTCTACGAGTTACTAAAAATATTTTAGATTATCGAAATTATATTTGTACTAAAAAATAAAATAAAACGTAGTTTGAAAAATTATTTTTTTTTCATTCATATTAAATAAATTATCAATAATTAATTTTGAAATTTAACAAATTTCAATGATGAATTACCGCTTCTTTTAAATCTAAATAATTTCAAATTAGAGAAATTATTTTTTAGAATTTAGTTGTGTTTGGAAAATTTTACCTTTAACGCAGATAAATACATCTATGCAATATTTCATAACCGTAAATTATTAAAATGTTAAATATAGTATTTCTCACATTTTTTTAAATATATTAACACAAAATAGCGAGAAAAAAAGTATGTTTAATAAAAAGTCTACGTCAAAGAGTTAATCTCATGTTTAATTAAACATTACAAAATGCATTTAATTCTTACTCTACACTACCCTTCGTCCAAGCACTTAGCTTCTTCAGCACTAAGAATATCAATAAGTTTCCAATGCCTGCGACTAAATTGAAACTTAGAAAACTCTCTAAACATATCATGTACTATCTTTTCCACATTTTCGTCTTCTTCGTCGATTTCTTTGCAATCTCCGCATCCCTCTTAGGGAGCAGAGCTAACAATAAAGGGACACACAACACATGCCAGTTTAATAGATTTCCACATGATACTCAGCTAGAATATGAGCAAAACTGGAAGCTGCTATCTCTAATTCCGAATTCATTTTGGAGTGGAATTAATTTATAGGGTAATCAAAACATATTCATCTGTTTATTTCCCAACCTTATCAACATAATAAAATTAGATAATTGGATAATTTTTAAATAATGACGCTACTGTCATATATTCCAGAAAATTAAATTCTGTTCATAATGTTATCTTTCTTCGGTAGACTCTTTGACGCAGAATTTTCATAATTTTTTTTTTATTATTTTGTATTCATTTATGTAAAAGAACATGAAAAATATATTTAGATTTTAATAATTTATGGTTATGAAATACATATTCTACGTATGATATACATAATAGGTTATGATATACTCGTACATAATTTTTCTGCTTCGAAGGTAAAATCTTCCAAGCACGACTCACTTCCAAATAACTTATTTGTAGTTATTTGAATCTAAGAGAAACAGTTATTAATCATTGAAATTTCTTCAATTTAAAAAATCAATTATTGATAACTTTTTTTAACATAAATGAAAAAAAATCAAACTTCTTTTTTTTTTCCTTGGATTTTATATTTTACCACAAATATAATTCCAATTATCTAACAGATTTGTTTTAATAACTATTAGACTGGTTTTTATAATTAAAAATTAATTAAATATACTATTGCTTGTAACTAGAGAGCCAGAAAATATATAAAAGGGACACCAGCGTCCCATCTGCGTCAAGAGGTTAAGCAACTCTTACTTATTCGAGGGAGGAATTAAGTAAGCTAGTTATAAAAGCTAGCTAGCTAATTAAGCTAATTATAAAATTTTGGTCATATAGGTTGCATATTCTTGATAAATTTAGATTTTAAGCATGTGTTAAGTTAAATTTAAATTTAAAAATAAGTTAAATTAATCAGTTGTTAAGTTAAATTAATCAGCAAGGACGCATTATCTAAATCTTTGCTAAACCAAGTTAACATTCCTGAGAATGATCCGAAGACATGTCATCAGAATTTTGATCTTTTGCAGAGGGGATGACTCCCACGGTTTGATACCCAGACGATCTACGCGCAAGTATTAGGAAAGGATTTTATTTAATTTAAATTTATTAAATTTATTTAATAATTTCAAAATAAGAAATAATCCCTACATTAGTTCTACTTCATTATTGTATTTATTGAAACTCACATGCATTTTTCAGTTATCGCATAACAATATAAACTATTAAAGAATATAATTGGCTCATTATCAGTAGAAGTTTTTTTCTTCTGTATTATTCTGGAAACTTTCTATTTGAGCAACTTGTTCTCTGGAAAATAAAGTCTCCTTTCTTGTCTCTTTTCTCCGTAATTGTGCAATAATGGATTTCCTAAAAAGACAATAAAATGTTTTACAAATTGCATTATTGAATATATGGAATAGATAATACTAAAATCTTTGTAAAGTATTGAGCAGTAGGCAAAAATATGTACTCTGTATAACTTTTGATGTTATTGGAATTTAGTGTACTAAATAAAATTTTCATAGTTCAGTTCATTTCAGATATGTTAAATCATTTGAGCTGATTACAATTTAAATAGAAAAGAAATAGTCACAAAATGTACAATCTCTGAATAAAAATAATTTTTTGAGAGGGATTTAAGTAATTTATTTTAAAGTGAAACTTGTTAACGATTAAAAAAACTTAGAAGTTTAAAGTTTAAAAAAATTATCTCTAGCGTTATGATGCCATGAAATTTTTTTTACATAAAAACAAAATAGGTCAACAATTTTTGAAAAATAGTGTTTTTTTTTAATATATATATATTCAAAAAGATTACTGCTGTCGTTCCGTTATTGCTTTTTCAGAAAATTTTTGGTGAGCTTGCTCTTATGGCGCACGAAAAAATTACCCAATGAAACAATAAAAAATTTTGAACAAATCTTCGTAAATGTTCAAAATAAAATAATGATGTAAAAAAACATTGCGAAAAGTTGAGAAATTAAATTTTGTGAGAAAGTTCCATCTTATAGCTCCTAAAAAATGGCGGCAATATAGCTTCTTCAATCTTTATTAAATGCTTATGAGTATTTTCGAAATATATGGCGCCTGTTTTTTTATGTGAAACTAGTTTTAAATCATCTCAAAATTCAAACTATTTTAAGAAAGTCTTGAGAATATCAAGCGAAACTTTCGATTGCTATTCTGACTTAAATCTGAGGAAAATATATTTTCGAATTTCTTTCATACTTTTTCACAATTCACAATTCTAAATCCGCAGAAAAAGTTTTTTTTCTTTCTTAGAACACAAATGATTTTCAACTGTAACGTTGATTAATGGGCATCATTAAATTATCTATTTAAAAACATCCCGGAGTACATATTAGTATGTTTAAATGCCTTCATTGAAAACTATGTAGGAAAGTGTCTTTTTTCTTAACTCCTGTACAGTGCGCCAAAAGAAAAAGAAACGGACCACCCTGAATAACTTTTGATCTAATGATCTGATCTTCATGTTCTAGGACTTCATTCTTAATGATTTAAGGGAGTGACAACAAATACGCTAATTAATTGGTGCAGACAAAATTAATAAGCGAAATCGGTTAAATAGTTCCTGAGAAATCAAATTTTTAAAAATGCTTGACGTTTTAAAAATTTGATTTCTCGAAACTATTCGACCAATTTTGCTCAAATTTTGCATTTTGCCATGCAAAATTAGATACTTTAAAATGTGTAAAATTTTTTCAATTCGTTTGAAAAGTTCTTGAAATACATTGGAATACGCAAAAATAAAAATTAGACATTCAAACTTTGTATCGCTCTCCTGACCAAACTATTGTGACCATGTTCCCCAGATTGTGACTACTCCCAACATTTTTGGGGTCAAAAACTCTAATCCATCGAAAAAAGAATGTATACATTCAGCGAAAGAACGCTTTTGTGTCTGATTTTGTAACTTAAAATATCATCTGCTAGGGGAAAGTGGGGTCAATTGTAACAGGGTACGATTGTAACAGAGCAAAAATTTCGAGTGTCGGGTTCTAGATTTGGTTCCTAGGTGGCGCACAAGGTGTATTTAATAAATCTACATGGACACCCCTGCTGGCAACCATTTTTATGTACTTTTGAAAGAGTTACATCACAAAAGATATTTTCACGCTACTTAAGTACTTTTTTTGGTATTAGAATATTATATTGTAACAAAGTAATTTTGCTTAAAGAAATAAAAATTATTAACCGAATATGTAGGTGGACACCTTAATTAACATTTCAAAAAAAAAAAGATTAGTTTTGTTAATTAACTAGCTTTGTTTTTTACAAATGAAGCTGAAATGGCGTCTTGGGGACGATTGTAACAATAAGTAAAGGGACGATTGTAACAGCTGAAAATAACTAATCTTCTGTTTACAAACCATTACTTAACTCTTTAAGAACCACCAATAGTTTCCTATATCATTTATATTATGTTGCATGTTCATTATTTTATTTGTCACCTTTCACAGCATAAATTAAAATTTTTAACCCCTTAAAGTTAAAAGTTTAACCCTTTAGGTCTCTGCTCATTATTATTTTTACTCCTAAAATATCACTACTATTTTGATCAATAAAAAAATATATCACAGCTATGATAATATATATAATTAACTATGTTTTAGTTGAATTTATGAACTGTTACAATAGTCCCCGTAAGTGGGGACAATTGTAACAAGTGCACGACTGTCAAAAATTGTTAATAACTAATATAATAACATTTAAAATGAGGTATTTTTTTTTTTTTTCTAGTAGATAGTCTTCTTTACTCGTCTGTCAATTAATACTAATAACATATTGGATTTTCTGTTAGTTAAAAATAGTTAAGTAAAAAATGTTACAATTGACCCCACTCTCCCCTACTAATTAGTTAGCATATTTGAGGTCACCCCGAAAACCATTAAGAATGAGTCCTAGAACGTGAAGAACGTGATCATTAGATTAAAAGTTATTTAGGATAATCCGGCTTTTTTTTTTTTTTTTTTTTTTTTTTTTTTTTTTTTTTTTTTTTTGCGCACTGTACATAAATAATTTTAAAATAAAGAAGAAAAAAGTATTTTATCGGATCCACTTAATTCTTAAGTGTAATTTAGAAAAAAAAGTTCTGCTAAAATAATTATTTACAAAAACTGCGTCGTGATTTTATTTCTAAGATGAAAAGTTGTTGCAGATACTTACGGCGCCTTCCAACGCGTCACAATCTTGAGCATCCTTATAACTGGAATCTCTTTTCGCACAGGTGGTAGGAACAGTAGATATCTTTATACGATAGGCTGCTGCTTTCTATTTAAAAAAGGAAAAAAATAACAATTAGATAAAATTTTGTAAAGCTTCTCATAAAATGCATAAAATTTCATTACAGCGAAAAGGTATAGACTTAATTCTAAAATTAAGCATTCCCTATACAGCCTATTAATGATTACTCGTTACCGCCATTTAATTACTTTATATCAGTATAATTAATAACATTAAAAAAATAAATAATTTTAATTATTTATTTATTTAACGTTGCATTTGGCAAGGCATGCTAAGCGATCAAATTATTTTAAGAAAATAGATAGTTGAACTACAGTAATTTAGAAATAGCTTTATCATAAGCTCCTACTGAGTGGAAACTTACGATAAAGCTATTTCTAAATTACTGTCTACTGATAAAAAAAAAATACAGTATATTCAAAAATCCCTCAAAATTAAATATATATACAACAGAAAACCATTAGAAAGAATTATTTTGATTACATGACCTCACACAATTAAAATACACGAGTTCAATAATTTTTGCTAATGTTTGAATCTCCCATCCTCAAGAAAAGAAAATAATAAGCATATTTCCTATTTTATTCAATGAATAGTTTATAAATATTATATTTTTCTTTGGTAAATCCATCATTTAAATGATGAAAAGAGCAGAAAATTTGTTTTTTTTTAGAAAAGTGGTTGTATATTTCTGGAGATAAAAACTTATAAGTTTAAAATCAGTAATAGAATTTATAGGAAAAAAATGGGACATAAAAAATTTATAAATTGTAAGAATATCTGTAAAAAAAATAAAAAAGTGAATTTCCTGAATAACTTTTGATTGAATCTATTTTTCACATTTAATAGTTCAAGGACCTAAATGTTAAATATGATAATTAATTAACGCAAATGATATTTTAAATTACGACTCAAAGTCAAATCACAGAATCAAGTTTTATGTACACAAATTTTTAAGACTTGATTTCTGGAGAACTGTTAGACCTATTTCATTCAAATTTTGTATTTTATAATTTTAAATTTCAAACATTAAAACGATATAAAAAATTTTATAGCTTACGATTTCTAAACTTTTTATACTACTATTGAATAAAATAATAAAAAAACACAATTATCAAAAATTGAATTAGATTTTAGTGAAATTAGTTTTTGATAAATATGTAAAGCACTGTATAAAAATTTTTCAATTCGCTTAAAAGGTACTCCGGATATAGCAAATTACGCAAAGGTGAAACTCTTCCTCCTTAACTTTGGGGACCATATTTTTCAAGATAGCAGCTAGCTACTCTCCATATTTTGGGTCAGGAATCTAAATACGAGGAAGAAAAGAGTGCATTTTTGTGTCTGATTACGTAACTCGTCGTCAATACTAATTATCTAACATGTTAAGAACTCAAAACAAAAATAATTCATTCCTAGTACACCAAAATCTAATCATCAGATCAAAAGTAATTCAGAAAGGAAATTTTTTCAAAATTATTTTTATTTTATTTTATTTTGCTCCCTTCATACTAAGCTTTGCGCTTAACCCTTTCACACAGATGAGACATCGGTGTTCCTTTTACATTTTTGAAGTTATACTTCTTATGCGACTTCCAACAAGGTTGCGTTAAACGTTTAACGCTACATTTTTATTGGCCGGGAAATCACGTGGTAGGATCCAGTTTTCCCTCATTCATTTCCATATTGTTTGGGTTCTCACTAGCATAAAAATAATAAAAGCATTGTTTTTCTATAAATATTTTTTTAGTTTGTTTTGATACACATATAATTTAATAGGGTAGTATTTTTAATTTTCAAATTTAGTGTATAACAATTGTAAAAAATGAGTGAAAACAATACGACGAATTTAAGGTTATGTCAAGGTACGTCTCTTGTGAATATCAATTGATTGTTAGGTTTTCTCTTCTGAAATTACATTATGACGCATTCACATACATTATTAATACAAATACATTTTCCAGGGTGAGACGATGAGGCAACCACAAGCACTTCCACTGGTTCAAGAGGTCCACGAGAGAAAAATGCACAATTACAGAGCACGGAAGCGAGCGGAGCAGATAAAAGAGTCGTTGAATAGAACTAGTGATCCTTCCACGACTGCTGATTCTTCTACAATTAACGTCGCAGGTTGCGAAGTTTAACTTCTTCCGCGCGGAGGGACTACACGCACTATTTTTCTTTCTCTGACGCTGTCATTAAAAGTTTAATATATTCATTAAATACATTATGGTATTTTTTAATTATAAAAGACAGTATATGAGTAACTAAAAATTATTTTAGATTATCGAAATTATATTTGTACTAAAAAATAAAATAACGTAGTTTTTTAAAAAAAAAAATTTTATTCACATTAAAATATTTATCAATAATCAATTTAGTAAATTAAATGAATTTCAATGATGAATAACTGTTCTTTTAGATATAAATAACTTTAAATTAGAGAAATTATTGTTTAGAAGTGAGTCGTGTTTGGAAGATTTTACCTTCAACACAGAAAAATAAATCTATACATGCAATATTTCATAACTGTAAACTATTAAAATGTTAAATATAATATTTTTCACTTATTTTGACCTAACTTAACACAAAATAACGAAAAATATGCTTAATAAAAATTCTATCAAAAAGTGTTAATCTGATGTTTAATTAAACAATACAAAATGCATTTAATTCTTACTCCACACTCCCCTTCGTCCAAGCACTTTGCTTCTTCAGCACTAAGAACATCAATAAGTTTCCAATGCGTGCGACCAAATTGATGCTGAGAAAAGTCTTTAAATATATCATGAATGATCTTTTCTACATTTTCGTCTCCTTCGTCCATTTCTTTGTAATCTCCGCATCCCTCGCAAGGGGCAGAGCTAACAATAAAGGGACACACAACACATGCCAGTATAATAGATTTCCACATGATACTTAGCTGGAATGTGCGCAAAACTGGAAACTGCTATCTCTGATTCCGAATTCATTTTGAAGTTGAATTAATTTATAGGGTAATCTAAACACATTCATCTGTTTATTTCCCAACCTTATCAGAATAATAAAATTCGATAATTTTTTAATAAGGACGCTATTTTTGTATGTTCCGGAAAATTAAATTCTATTCATAATGTTATCTTTCTTCTGTAAACTCTTTGACGCAGAATTTTCATACTTGTTTTATTATTTTGTATTCATTTAGGTCAAAATATGTGAAAAATATTATATTTAGCATTTTAATAATTTATAGTTATGAAATACATATTCTATGTATGATATACATAATATGTATGATATACATAACATGTATGATATACATAATATATATGATATACTTAATACGTATGATATACATAATATGATATACATAATTTTTCTGCTTTGAAGGTAAAATCTTCCAAGCACGACTCACTTCCAAATAATTTATTTGTAGTTACTTGAATCTAAGTGAAACAGTTATTAATCATTAGAATTTCTTTAATTTACAAAACCAATTATTGATAATTTTTTTAACATGAATAAAAAAAAAATTCAAACTTCTTTTTTTCTTCTTTTTTTTTTTTTTTGGATTTTATATTTTTGCACAAATATAATTCCAATTATCTAACAGATTTATTTTTATAACTATTGGACTGACTGTTGTATTGAAAAATTAATTAAATGTACTTTTGCTTGTAATTAGAGAGTCAGAAAAAATATATTTAAGGGGCATCGGTGTACCACCTGCGTCAAAAGGTTAAGCAACTCTTATTTAGTTAGTTATAAAATTTTACCTAGTTATTAATTAAACTAGTTACAAAATTTAGTCATATAATAAGTTGCATATTCTTGTTAAATTTAGATTTTAAGTATGTGTTAAATTTAAATTTATCTTTGGGGGATTTAAAACTTCTTAGATTTACCCTCTAATGATTTTTTTTTCTTTGTTATAGCTTAATTTTTCCTTGACAATTTTATCTTAAAATATCTAATTAAAACACTCAATCTTGCTCAATGATTACCAAAGTTTTAAAATTAAAAAAAAGAAAAATCTTAGCTTTTAAAAATTAATTTTTACGTCGTAATAATTTCAACTAACAAATTTAATATAATATGAATCTAGTTACCATGTGCTTATGCTAATTTGACAACTTACTCACGTTCCTTAAGGTCTTCTGTCGTAGTCATTCTTCAATTTTGACATGAAAAAAGAGAATTGATGTTATTCTTAATATTCTAATCATTCATCAATTTACGTAAAACAACAAGTTTTGCAGCATTATGGAAGGATGTACCATATAAGTATCCTACACTAATTATTGATTTCAAATTAATCCGGAAGTGCGAAATTTCTAACAAACTTATTATTTTTAACCATTTGTCTTGCTTTTAAGATCCTCCTTATATACAACCTAAGGACTCGGTTGGCAATAATTTGCAGTCTGGAATTGGGCAAAGAAGGAGGATCGTGATTTTTCTAAGTCATCTTGACAATGCCCCAGAGTAATTAGTTTTAAAATGTACAGCGGATATTATTGGTTAACATGAAGTTGTTGAGTAAATAACAGATTTTGTACGACCGAAGATTACTTTCAAGCTGCGAATCATTGCTAGAAATTTTTATGCGATATATCCTCCCCCAAACTGAACTGATTTAATATCAGTGAACTGATATTAAATCACTGACACCATGCACATCAAAGAAATACCAAAGTCTCCCTGTCACTCTCCGACTGTAAACAGGTGTGTTTATCTTGTTACAGAGGCTAGAATGAAATATGTGAACATGAAGATTCTGAGACGATTTAGCTTTACATCTGCATCAAGTAGATGCAATACAGGTAAGGGGTCTAGATATGGTTTGATGTTATAAAGTTTATTTTGAGTTTGAAGGTCCCAATGCTGTTGCCAAAGGGACACGATGAGCTGTAGTTTAATGTTTGCAAAAAAAAGGTGGACAGATCCCAAAGTGACGCACGTCCCCAAAGCAATAACACCTTAAAAAAATCCACTTGATATTTTAATACTTTACATGGTATGTTTCATTTAACTTTAGCAATTTTTTTTTAAATACTTCCGTTCAGATATTTTGAGATTTTAGATGATATTAGGTTATTTTGAAAGTATTATAATATAGTTATTTAAGTCAGTATGATAAATATCAAAACAAAGGTTGACACATTCCAAAGCGATAACACCTTTAAAAATTCATTTGATGTTTTAATAGTTTACATGGAATGTTTCATTTAACTTTGGCAATTTTTTTTCTAAAAACACTTTTTCATCAAGGACGTAGTAAGGGAGGGGTTTGAGGTGTTCAAATGTAAATAGCAATTTTTAATATTTTCCCAAATTGCTCTTTTTTTAAAAAAAAAAAAAATATTTTCAAACATTTTTTTTCTGCTTCCTTTAAAATTTTTATTAGATAAAAAACACCATCTTAAAACTCATTTTATTGAATTCCGCACCTGGTTCACTCCAACCAACCACAGTGCTGACGTAAAATATCCTCAGAGGTAGACGGATCATGGGTTCAAGGCCGGATTAACCATTAAGCATACTAAGCACGTGCGTAGGGCACCAGAGGTAAAGGGGGCACCACGAAGCAAACATGAAAAAAATATCTTTCGACTAGGAATATTTTTTTACACATTTTAATTCGATTTTTAAGTTCTTACATGGTTTTAACTAATTTGATATTGCGTTATAATTATTTCAATCACGCGGACACGAAAAAGAAAGTTCTGTATTTGCAGTATCCCATCACCAAATGACCAATGTTTTTTTTCCTAACAGACCTCCTATATAGTCAGTGAATAGCCGAGACCTGAAATACAAAACTACGGCAAGTGACACATTTTATTTTTCTCCCTGAAAAGAATGAAATCAATGTCGAAACTATCATACTATGTAATAGTTTAGAGGTTATAAGCGTTTTAAGTACAAAATTGTACTATAAGTATTTACGAATCTGACACATTGCCTTATTATCGCTTAGTGGGCATGGGCCTAGGTCCCAAAATTTCTAAGGGGCCACGAAAATNTTTGCTAATAATGACCAACACAAGTAATAACCCTTCAAAGAATTAATTTAAAAATTTTGATTTCCATCAGATCCTCGGTAAGAAGCTTTAAATTTGACGGTGATATAAATTTATTATTTTTTTTCTTCAATTTACTTATTTAAGAAAAAGATTTTATATTCGTATTGATGTTTTTAATTAGATTTAAGGAACATCAAAAATTTTTAAGTGCTTAGGGCCTCTTAGGTTCTTAATCCGGCCCTGCATGGGTTAGAGCTCCTTTACCGTCAGGCTAATCGTGGGAGGTTTACCTCGCTATGTAACGCCAATGCGGGTTAGTTCCCTTAAAAATTCTTCCAGGAAGGCAAATTTCTCCCCATACTTGATCCAGGAGTTGCCTTGTCTTTTGGATTGGGCTCAAAATTACAAGGCCACGGAGTTTAACATTGGTAGTAGTAAACTCAAAATTTGGTCGGCTGTTTAATGACGGTAATAAAAAACTAAAAAACAATAAATGCGAACAATATGATGGTACGGTATTTTTAAGGCTTTCTAATAAGCCCTCGATATCGATCCGTTGCCTGCTACACAAGGATAATTGTACAAGTGTTAAAGCATTCGTACATAGTGATTGCATTTATGTTTTTGATCGATTTGATGAAATGCTTGAAATGTTAGAATTAATTCATTTGTGCTATCCATTTAGATTAAAAATAGCATGATAATAATATAAGTCTGTTTATTAAAAAAAAACAATATTTAATTAATTAAATGCACTTCTGACACTAATATAAATATAACAACAGAAAAATAGTTATCAACTTAAAGTGTTACAACATAAACAGAACATGAGTACATTGAAAAATGCTATAATACGACTCAAAGAAAGAGATGTCCCGTTCAAAGCCAAAAATTTTATTGCGATATAAAATATTTATTATTAGATTACATTTTATGGAAATTTTAAGCATTAACTATTTTGAAGTTCTTAATCTTCACAATACTGTTCGTACAGAATAATCACATACAGCTCAATAAACATAATGTCCTGCCTTTGAGCTATATTTTTTAGAGTCAAAATTGAGTTTTGTGAAGATTGGGTTTTGTCAAACTAGGGCTCTGTCATAGTCGAGGTTAGTCATAGTCTGGTTCTGTCATAGTCGAGTTCTGTCGTAATCGGATTCTGTCATAGTCGGGTTCTGTCACAATCAGAATTGCGTCAACATTAGGTTATGTCCATAATTGGGTGCTATTATACACATTCTGGGAATCCTAACTGAGCACGTAATATAAAGTTTGTGTTACTTAGCCACCTTCTAGAATTGTCTATGTGGAAATCGCAAAAAGTTCAGAATCAGGCTCAAGAAACAAAATGTCCTGCCCAAGAGCCGAATCTCTATTACGAAATCTACTATTTTATCCCAGTCTTTTCGACTGCATTTAATGGAAATACTAACCATATATAGTTCATGGGTAAGTCACCATTTTGAGAAGCTCCACAATGCTGTCAGTAGAGAGTTTACAAGCAGCTCAATATACAAAATGTCCTGCAATTGAGCTAGTTGGATCTGTCACACGTTTTAGGAATGTACTAACATTACACGTTATATAATATAAAGTTTGTGCGTGTTAGTCCTCTCATGAAAATCACCACATAAGTGTCTATGCAGAGATATCAGAAATGTAAATACAATATGGTTCAAGGAACAAAATGTCCTGTTCAAGGGCCAATTTTTAATCAGATTAATTTTTATTTAGTACCGTTATCACGTTTTACGAAAAATTCAAGGATGATTCTACTTGAATCTACCAGAAACGGCCTCATTAAATCCATTTCTCATTTTTCCATTTTTGGAACTCTTCAGTCAAATGTACAAAATGGGGCGTGGAAAATAACGCATTTTTCAAGTCTAACTTTATGAACCCATTCTGCTTGAAGTCAAGTGCCATTTGTTCCATTATCTCCACGTCCCA